GGAAGAACTTGCAGTGAAAAAAAAAAATTCTGAGAATATTCAATTAAAAAAAGATTTGCAGATCTTAGAATTCCGAGTGATGAGAGAATCAAACAGAAACTTAATGTTAAAGGCGAAGCTGAAACAATATGAGACTGCTAACGAAAATTATTTAATGGAATTTGGGGACATGGGAACGATGTTTTTAGATTCCATAAAAAATTTAACGGAGCAAATTGGATCCTACAAAGGGACCCATGTACTTCCAATTAATATGTTTGAAACTCTATTTAAGGAGTTTGCTGATGAGGAATTTACAAAGGTATTGAAAGATTTGGATAAGGATTTCGAAAAAGCATTAAATCGATATTTTAAAGTAGAACTGGAGAAAAGATGCAAGTCAGTCGCAAACGATGCTTGTGAAGTCTACAAAGCTGAAAAGATTGCGGCGAAGGAAAAATATAAAAAACGTTTGCATTTAAAAACATGGGCCCAAAAAATTAATTTCAAAATAATTCAGGTAGAATGTTTTACTGAGGTACGGCAATTTTTGTCATCAATCCAAGATAAAACTGAAAAGGATTTGTCAAAGGCTTTACGAGAATTGGAGGATAAGTATCAAGCAAAAGTTAGCAAACTTTTCTAACTTTGATGTTATATAATGTATTTCTACTTTTGTTTTTTATTAATTTGTACATATATTTGATGGTTGTTTCTATTAACATTAAAAGACTTTTTTTAATTATATTTTATTTATAATTTTTTAAGTTAATGTCTTTAATTTTCAAAAATTTGAATTCCAATTTTTCGGATCTATCACCATAGATTTAAGATTGGGGTCCAAAACCACAAAACCACAAAGTCACGAAACTACAAAATAAGTTTATTAAGTTCTTTTTTCAGGTCTAGTTTATTGAAAATGGGCTTCAATATATCACCTAAGCAGTGATGCAAATTTCAAAGCTTAAAATACGATAGTCACTAAGTAAAACAATGCAAAAAAATTTGATTCGTCAAAGTGTTCCATATTTTCTCGAATTTCTTGATCATTCAATAATCTTCAGTTAATCAAAGAGATTATATTTATTTTAGTCTTTAATCCCTTAACAGTTAGGTTATTACTATCTTTTCCAATATGGGATGAAATCAATAATTTTTTGTATATATTTGAGAGACGTGTCCAAGGATATGATATTTATATGTACCTCTTCCATAAGTAACCTAAAGTGTCACGTGTTTTGATGGTTTGAAGCACATTTTACGTTAGTTTAACATGCAGTGACGATGTAGTATACTTGTTTAATCAAAAGGTCACGCGGGGGGAAAGTTTCGCTGGCTTTACTGATGGCACAGTTTTCTTACCCAATTCTTACCCAATGAAATTATTGGTTGATAAAGTTTTGTAAGATATTGACTGTCTCCCAAACTAGTGTGGAGTTTGGTGTGGTCGACCCTATAACTCGAATGGCTACCTGATTATTTGACATAAGGATTATCATTTCGTGACCATAATCCTTGTTTAATTTATGAGCCATTTACATGCTAGGTCATATCATCGGTAGTGTTCTTGAGTTTGTTCACTTTTTGTACCCCATTCTTTACAGTTAGGTGCAGGTTAGGGACATAAGTACATACCTATAAATTAAAATATATCTCTTATTCACAATAGTGTGACTTTAGAATAGTTTGAATTGCAGTAATCGTTGGATTTTTTGAATGAAAGATATAGTATTGATGTAAAAAATTTATTTATTCAATTTCTCTAATCAAGTAAGATACATAAATTAGTTGTATTTCTTTGTTAGTAAGAAAAAGAAAATATATTGCGGTTTATCATCTTTACTCATTAAATTATCGTGTGGCATCTTACATCACGATCTAACGTTTTCATGTCCAGTAGTGAAACCAGTAGCATTGATACAAATGAGACTGTTGACGGAGATTTGGAATTTGGAAATGATTGTGATCTAAGTAACCAACAGAATATTTCGCTCAAAAGTTCTGAAAAAAGTCGTTCGCTAAAAGAACAGGTTCTATTTTCAGTGGCTGAAAATAGTGCAGGCAGGTATTTTAATGGATCTCATGACTTAGTCAAAAATTCGGTAAGTAAATATTATAACGCCAACAATTTTATTAGAAAATGTGTTCTACTGTATAAGTTCCATGATTATTCTAAAACAGAATCAGGATCTAAGCTCTCATGAGGCAATAATTATGACATCAAATCAAGCAAATAGTAGCACTGCAATGGGTGGGGGTGATGCACCCATATACCCATTCTGTGACAATCAACAGAGTGAACGCTTACCAAGTGTTTATAGCAGTGATACAGACCTTACAGAGCATGGAGATGCAAGTTTGAACTCTAACATTGAACATGATGCTTCTGGAGATTTTAGTAGTGAAATACTTCCGCAGTTATATCTAAAGAAAAACGAAAATGATTGCTTGAACAGTAAGAAAAGAGTATTTATCCCTCTCTCAAGTGAGACTGAATCACTAGGTTTAAATTCAATAAATGATTTAAAGACAGAGCATGATATATTTTGTTTGAATAATGACGCCGACGCGAAAAAACAGAACAAAAAAGAAGAAATCAATTCTACTAAGGCAGATGCAGAAACCGATTCAGATGTAGCCTATAGTAACTTTTTTCGCGATCTTGGCAATTGCTCTACATATTCTTTGATGAATTCATTTGATATGGGAAAAATTACCAAACACTTTGAAGCATTGAGTTCAAATTCAATCAATGAATTAAAAGAGTCAGTTGAATTACACGAATTACTTGAAAATTGCAACGTCGAAGATCGAATATCGCTGGTATGTGATTATTTTAAAAAGAAATTGTCGCCCTTAAATGAAAAAGACCAAGAAGAAAATAGGATTAAGACGGATATGTCTGATAAAGATAAATCAGCTGCAAACGCATGTCTAGGTGATCACGAAAGAAGTGAAATAATGCAAAAAACTAACAGTAAAGAAAAGGAGGATGCTACGAAATCTGACGAACTTCCTTCAGGGTCAAATTCTACAGAAGCATTGAAATTGGATAACACTGAGCAGTCGTTAGGTGAGAATAATATAAAAACTATGATTGACAACGAAGTGTTTCATGAATATACCACCAAGATATTTGACTTAACTGGAAAAAGCGTGACTAATTTTCCGCATAATATTAGGCAGATGTGTTTAATACTTAACTCTGAAGCTGATTTCATGGAAGACGTCATTGCAAATCCAGCAGCAGATGAGGATATAAAAAATTTCTTTTATGAAAAGTCGTTGGACCATGTTCAAAACATTATGGCAAGCTTCTCTCGCAAGTGGGCTTCACAGTAAAGTTTTCTGACTGATTCGATAGATCAGAGATGTTTGAAGACTTTATTTAATATAAGCATGGAATTTGTATAGCCATATCTTTGAAGTTATTAAAATATTTTATAAAGTCATTTTTAAAACAACGAATTCAACTAAATTCAATTTATTATAGTCTTGATACATTCCATTTTAATAAAAAGTGCAATTTTGATGTTTTAAATTATTAATTTCAAAAATTTATTAAAAAGTTCAATTTATAAGAAAGAGAGAGTTTAAGTGAATAGTTCAGCATAAAAGCCTCTTAATACTCAGATAACTTTAAAATAATATTAAATTTAATTTTAATATTAAATATGTTAATATATTTAATACAAAAACATTTTAAATGTTAAATATAAATATATTAAATTTGAATTAAATTTGAGTTGATATATTATTTTATCATTCTGCTAAGAATATTTTTTCAACAAAAAAAGAATTTATTTTCTTTAAAAATTTATTTAGTTATTTTTTTATAGAGAGATTTCGACTACAACAACAAAAATTGTTTTTATATTATTTTATTTAATTGAGTTTTTTGATACCATACAGCTGTTCCGAGTATTGTCAAATACCCATCACCAGTGGCCTTGGAATAATCTTGGAATAATTATATATAAATTTTTGTAAATTTATTAAGACTGCAAGTACTAAGGGTTGAACTTGTGCCCTAAAAATGTAACACTCAGAGTCAGGATACTTGACTTGTATGTTGGAACTTAGAGTTTTTTACTGTTAAAATTTATTAACAAATTCAGTTGCTGTGTTATATTAAGAGTAAATCATAAACCAGTTGTAGAATAATTAAATAATTAATTATATATTTTTTTTTAATTGTACAATTATTCTTTTGTGGAGGTACTATTTTACTGCCTGATTTTATTTCTTTCTAGTATATAGATCCATAGAATCTAGGAACTTAATATGGAGAAATCTCGTATATAATCTCGTAATTAAGAACGTTTTCTTATTATCTGTTTAAAGCAATTTTTTTATATTATATATTACATATTATATAATACGCATTATATATATTATATATTGGCTATAAAAGCTATGTGGCTATCTGGTAGATTTATCTCTTGAAAGTGTGACCGAAGTAATTTTCAATAACACCATATATTATAATGAAAGACGGCCGATACAGTTTGCTCCATCCGTTTCCTAACTATGACATGACAATGGCAGATATATGAGTCTTTGTATCTGCTGGCAATAAACTTTCTTTTAGCAATGAGACATTTTTATTATTAAAAACCAGAAACCATTAATACCTAAATATATTTATTGTACTTTTTATAAATTTTATAAGTTCATAATTTATATAAATTTAATTTCGAAGGCTTTTATCAATTTTAGCACATTCTAGGGCTGTAAAACTTTCTTGAAGGCATAATAATATCACCTAAGTGGTGAAGTTATTGTTTGCCAGGAGTTAGATCTTCACAAAAAATATGTACTCCCAGCTTTCATTTATCCATTCTGCAGAAAAACTACAGACATCAGTGCCGGAGAGCCCTAACTTATCTATGTGACACTACAGGTTGCAGTATTCGTTGAAGTAACCTGATTAAAACAATAACACAAGAATAGATATTAATTCTAGATTAATCTTTTGTTTAATCTATAGATTAAGCAAGGATGAATTGCTGGTGATGAGGATGAAATTAAAAAATAAACAAAATCTTTAAATATTAATAATGTAATTTAAAAATTTTTAATCCTTTTCAATGTCAGTTATGTCGTATGCATTTTAAAAATTTGTCACCTAAACTATGTTGATCCAGCAATTACCGCAGAGATCTGATAAGTAGTACAGTACAACATACAATATTTGTCGCCTTTATATTCAGATAGAATGAAAATGAATTTCATAATTGTGATATATGATATTAGATAAAAAAAAATTTTATGGGATTAGAACGATTTGGAAAGTGTATTATATGACGTTGGATAAAAGGAGAATTCATCATTAAACTTCCAAAAACAGTTCTTTGATCAGATAGGTGAACAGTAACCCGTGAAAATCAACCAAAGCTAGTAACAATACAATATCTATATCGAAAAAAGTATACTATTTCTATTTTGGAAACCCACGGTATAATATTCATAATGATTTCTTTTGATTTAGTTAAGTTAAAATTGAGTAGTCGGATAGAGTTGAATAAAATCATTTATATTTACTTTGCTGATAAGAAAAAATATATGCATATGTTATCGAATTGATTTTATAGATTTTTTATTATTGAATATAAAATGTAACACAGCTTCAATATATTTGATTGAGTATCAAGTTGACTAATTAATGTAATGTGTTCTACGAGTGACCAAATTAATTCACAAACCAGTATCAGCCTCGTAAAGCAGTGGCAGATGGGCTCATAAATTAAAAATCTCGCATAAAACAAACTCGATTATGTGTGGAAATAAGTGCTAAATCAACGAAACGAGCCTAAATCATGGAAGATGGGCAGTTTTATCTCATTTAAATTAGGTGCGTATTGAAAACAAACTTTTTCAATGACAAATTCATAAACAAAATGCAATTCGGAGCTTATAGGTTTTAAGGTGTTTCTTTTTTTTTTTTGAATTTTCCGTAGCCATTAATTTGGAGTAGTTTTCTTGCATCTTTAAATGACTTTATTTGCTTAAGTGTTGACTGCATAAAAATTGAACTAGAGATTCTGAGATCATATATAAATAGTCCAACGTTCAATAAAAATATAAACATTCGATTTAATTTGTCAATCAGAGCGTGTGTTGTCGGCTATTATTAAAAAAAATAAATAAAATGCGTGCAATAATTGTAAGTGCTTTAATCTAGAAAAAAAATATCCTTTGCATAAGGAACATAAAAAATAAATAAAAAGAACAAGTCCTCGACATTTGATTTAAAAGGACAAAAAGATACTCCAATAAATAAAATAAAATCAAAAATATCAAATGTCCTTAAATACAATACATGTGTAGTGTGAAGTGTAATATTTATAATATTTTAAGGAACAATAGTGTAGTGAGATCTATTGTTATAATCCTGGAAAGAGGAAAAACTTGATAGAATTTCAAATCATAACTTGTCAATAAAATTAAATAATAAAACTTTTATTATAAATAAAATAAAATAATAAATATATATTTGCATATATATATATGTACATGTATGTATTTATATATACATTGTGACCGAAAAGTTTTCGGAAATTCTCATTTAAAATTCGCGCGCTGTATATTTTTCGATATTTTAAGTTTATGTAGTTTGGCAGCACTGTCCTTAATTACTATGCCAAAAATGAGCGCGATCTGTCAGACAGTTCGTTTACGGCAGCTGTTGAAACCAGTTCACCTCAGTAGTGCGTTGCGAAAAAAACAATGGAAAAAAATATTGAACAAAGAGTTTGCATCAAATTTTGTGTTTCGAACGAAATTTCGTGTGCAGAATCGTTGCGAATGCTACAAAAGGCTTATTGGGAATCAGTTTT